AGAATGGTTTGGGTTGGAAGGGACCTCAAAGATCATCGAGTTCCAACCCCCCTGCCCTGGGCAGGGACACCTCCCACTAGAGCAGGTTGCTCAAGGCCACATCCAGCCTGGCCTTGAACCCCTCCAGGGATGGGGCATCCACAACTTCCCTGGGCAACCTGTTCCAGTGTCTCACCACCCTCATAGTAAAAAATTTCTTCCTGAGATCTAATCTGAATCTTTTTTCTTCCAATTTAAAACCGTTTCCCCTTGTCCTATCATTACACTTCCTGGCAAAGAGTCCCTCCCCAGCTCTTCTATAGGCACCCTTCAGGTATTGAAAGGCCGCTCTAAGGTGTCCCCGGAGCCTTCTCTTCTCCAGGCTCCGACATGCTCGGCTCTGGTGATGCAGGAGGGACCCCGTGTCGATGGTGGGCACCTCGCACGCTCCCCGTGAGCACGGCTGTTGCTCTGCACAGATGGCACTTACACCATCTCCCTCTACCAAACACACACCAGGCACACACAAGAGTGTGCAAATACGTGTAAATACACCCAGACCCCCACGGGACTGGCCGGGTGCTGCGCTCGCCCAGCTCTAACCCGGGATCCAGGTTGTCCTCTCACTCTCCTGCCTCTTGGCACCCATTCCCACCGGCGCTGCTGCCAGCCCAGACCCAGCCTTCCAGCTTTTCAGCCTCACATTTCCCCCCCTCCCTCCTATTTTTAGGAGTAATTATTACAAACCAGTCACCCATTAATAACTTGGAGCTCCCAGGCAAACGCTCGCCATCGGGGTCTCGCTGGCAAAACGGTGACCCAGCGTTAAAACCGGTGCCCAGTATTGCTCAGACAGAGGTGACACCCTGCTCCGCACCCCTCGATCACCCCCCCATCATTTTTGGCCGGCGACGCCGGTGGCGGCCGCATCCCACATTTCCTGCGCTCGTTTGTTTATTTATTAATTTCTCTTTTTTTTCTGCTGACGCAGCCCAACACCCCTCTTCCCCAGTTCAATCTAATTACAGCTCCGCACAACAGAAATCGATAGTGACGCTGGTCAGATCTATTTACGGCGGCCATCAACCCCCCAACGGAGGATCTTCTTCCTATTCTCCGTCCCCTGGGCGCTGCTTTCCCAGGCAGGCTGGCGGTGGCCGTCCCCGTGTCCCCGCAGGAGCTGGGGACTGGAGGTGGGGGAGGCAGCTAGAGGCACGGCTCTGACCCCCATGGCGTCACTACAGGGGGAAGGTTTTTCTTTGTGGTTCAAAACCCCTTTTTTCCAAGTCCCAAGCCCCAAACAGAATCACAGAATCACAGAATCTTCTAGGTTGGAAGGGACCTTAAAGATCATCTTGTCCAACCGTCAACCCAACTGACAAAAATAGACACCCACACAACAAACAAGGAGCATCATCACTAAACCAGACCTCCCAGCACTACATCAACCCGGCTTTTGAACACCTCCAGGGATGGGGCCTCAACCACCTCCCTGGGCAGCCCAATTCCAAGGGCTGAGAACCCTTTCAGTGAAAAAATTTTTCCTAATATCCAGCCTGAACCTCCCCTGGCGCAACTTGAGGCCATTTCCTCTTGTCCTGTCGCCTGTGACTTGAGAAAAGAGACCGACCCCCATCTCTCTACACCCTCCTTTCAGGGAGTTGTAGAGAGCAAGAAGGTCTCCCCTCAGCCTCCTCTTCTCCAGGCTGAATAACCCCAGTTCCCTCAGCCTCTCCTCATAAGACTTATTCTCCAGACCCCTCACCATCTTTGTCGCCCTTCTCTGGACCCGCTCCAGAGACGACTCATCCTTGGCTTAATGCTGTTCTTGGGTCATGTCCCTTTGGGGTCTCTGGGCCTGGCCACGGTCCATGGGGTCAAGGACATGTTTCAGGGCACTTCCACTCCTGTCTTATCTCCCCAAAAAGCATGGGATTTATTCCCTGGCTCTTTTCCACTGAGACCAACAGTGGGACACATGGATTGGGGTCCCCCCGTGGGCAGGGGGGATGCTCTGTTGGCCAGTAAGGGGTTGAGCTCACCCACAAGAGGGGGGTCTTTCTCTCCTCTCTCCATCTCTCAGCTCATTCTCATCCCTGGGGGTGTGAAACCCTGGCCCAGGTTGGCC